TTGGCTCACTGGGAGCCGTGTGACCTTCCCTGTCTTGTATGCAGAGACCAAAGAGAAGCAAGCACAGCCTACCTGATGAATGATAATAAGTTGCCTATTGTAACATCGAAAGTCTGGTGACAAAATGTACGGAAAGCTAATAAGGCACACATAAGTGTCATAATAGAGGCATTTACTATGGAAAACGTCATTAGTTGTTCACAGTGACTGCCTGAGTAGACTATGCAGTAAATATTATACTGCTTCAACCTGAGACTAAAATGCCTCAAAGTGAGAACACAATTCATACAGGAACAATGCATATATAAGGAAAATTGAGCTGAGGCTGTTATAAATGTTTTCAAGCACATTCCCCTAGTTTCTAAGTCAGCAGATGATCAGCTGAGAATCAGATGATTGTCGAGTCAGATGACTTCAACAGGCATCTTTTTCCAAATGTGCTCTAAGATATCTATGGAGTGAGCTAATCTACTCCTACTTCCTCAACTCTCTTTTAACAGCATGCACTCCCACTAAATCAAAGCTGTTTGCTCTACTAGCTCCATTTTCATTTGGCCTTTCAACCCTGGTTGCCTAACCACCCGTGCCTTTTCTTTCTTTTTTTTAACAGCAATTACCTCAGCAGTCTCAACCTGGCTGATGCACATGTGGCAGTGGGAGGACTGTACTGCCTATTGCCTGCTTTATAAGCCTCATAACTTGCTTGCCCTTCCATTTTTCCTCCTCCTCTTCCTCCTCCTCCTCCTCCTCTTAAACCCTGTTAGCCTCACCTCCTGATCAAAGACACCTTGTGATGTCCAGTCATACAGCAATATGTTGTAACCCCATGTCCTCCCTGCAGTGCAGGAATATAGACTCACATTAATTCTAATCTGGAACCTTGAAGGTCAAGGAGTCTGAGTGCTTGTCGTGGGCGCTATCAGAAAATGAGTTTTTAAAGAACATTTTAAAGTAAAAATGAAAGGTCTTCTTTACATATATATATATATATATATATAGTAAAGTTGATTTAAAACAATAGAATATACAAACCTTTTGGGCCTTTTTTTAAACAGCTTTTTTACCACCAATGCCACAAATGAAAGATAAATTAAGCACTTTATAGGTCAATTTACAGAGTTGATTAAGCCTTTTGTGGTTACATTTGCCGACATGAGGCTCGTCTAGACATGTGACAGTTAAATCTGCTCCATGAAGCAAAATGGCGCCTGACATAACTGAATCCAGGCATCGTAAAAGATTTGCTCTGACATAAGTCACAAGATGACTGCATCCTTAGAACATCCACAGGGATAAAGCATAGCTGTATTGTCAAAAAAATACCAAAAATGCTAAACAAACTACCTGAGAAGAAAAGGAATCACTGTCGGTTCTCCTGTTTTCAACTCTCCCTGTTTTCTTTGAAGTATCTGTCATTATTTGAAGTTGTAATGACAGCCCAACAACCAATTAAAGGCATCATTCCTTCAGAGTAGACCCTGCAAAATTGATGTAATATAAGGCTGTGGCGATGGTGGGTAAGCCCCTGCCAGCAAAATATCCCTGTGGGAATTATCATGCAGGTGTAGCTTTCTGAAAACAGCAGGGTTTATCTGTGACGGCAACAACATGTCTGTTCACAGCATCATTTGGTTGAAGGTTTGGAAGAACATCAAGAGTTTCATCAACGCTGTTTGCTGCCCTGAAACACTATAGGTATTAGCAGCACCGCAAAGCTTTAATCTTCCAAATGTCAGGGGTGAATAGTTTTCACCGCACTTCAAGACCCAATCAGTCGCCATGAAAGGTGAGCTGCACCAGGAGATGCAGCTCTCGGTTGCACACACACCTGCTGAAAGCCATCAGCACAAAAGTGTTCTCGCCAAGGCCTTTCCATAGAGACCCTTTCTCTACAGCATGTATTTGAATAAATCACCTTCATATACAGATTATCTGACATTTATCGTCACTGGCTTACTGTGCTAATTGAGTCTTTGCTCAGAGATACCGACACAAACCGTCGGAAATGCTCAATCAATACCACCTTGTCAAAGTGACACCTGCAATGGCTGACCTCACTCAGCGTCCACTGAAACAGATCATATTTCCTGAGGGCTGTTTGCTCTCCTGCCAAAAATCCCATCGAGTAGGGGGTGCACAGAATGATTTACCCCAGACCACCGTGGACAGGAGAGAGAAATATTTTAACCATTATCTGGCTGTTGTCATTTTTTAGGAGGGCATGTACTCAGAAAAGATCCAATAATGATTTGCTGTTTGTTAATGGCAAGTGCTGTGGCTAGTTGCACCAGGAAATCCCAGCGGAGATGGTGGTGCGTGTGCGTGTGTGTGTGTGTGTGTGCTTGCGTGTGTCGAGGCTGAATGGCAAGGCTAACAGGAAGCTAGGCACCCCGGGGCCATCTGCTCCCTGCCATGGCTCACATGTCCCTGTGACAACACAGCATTATTGATTCACACCACCACATCCGCTTCTGTGTGTACATGCTGATGTGCCACAGTATAAGTGTGTGTGCATATGCCTGTGAGTGTGTACGCAGCCATTTTGCAGACAGCAAATAATTGATTCGCACCAGTACATCCGCTTCTGTGTTTGTCTTGCTTGTGGCTAAATATATGGATATCAATGGGTCAATTCACTCAAATCACAAAACATAAATCTTCCCATTTAACCCTGCTAGAATCAGCCCGAGCAGATGTTTTTTTTTGTAACTATAGTTCTCAGTGAAAAGAAGATATTTTTGAACTGGATCTCTAATGACTATTTGGGTTATACTTCAATGCAACATGCTCCTTCTTAAAGACAATGTAGTCATTTAGGAGACACTCCCAGCTGCATTTCAAATAATGTGGCTATTGTCGCTCTACACACTAATTGAGAGGATCAAATCTCTATTAAAAACTCTTTTGGGGGTTTGTCCCAAAAATATCTACAGCAGCTAGACAATGGGAGGAACCGTTTAACCTTGTCCTATATTGATATTGCAAGGGTGTGCCCAGTGGCAAAGTCAACTAGCGTCTCAGTAGGCTCCTCATTATCCAGCTCCCATCATGACAGGAAAGGTGGAAAACTCTTTTATCTGCCATCTCAAACGGTTCATTAGAAGCTTTTTTTCCATGTGGATTGGCGGACGAGTTTGTGATGTGGATGTGATGATAGCACAGAAGCACACAGGGCAGGGATTCCTGAGTAACCTGACAATTAAAGGACCACACGGGAGCAGTGATGCTAACACTTCTATATTTAGAGGCCTCTCACGTGTCCATGCATTTTTCAGGAATCTGGAAACGCTACCTGACACTGAAAGCCAGCTCTCAAGGAACTAGTGTGTTGTTTGTGAAGGGATTGGACACACGTGTGTGTGTGTGTGTGTGTGTGTGTGTGTGTGTGTGTGTGTGTGTGTGTGTGTGTGTGTGTGTGTGTGTGTGTGTGTGTGTGTGTGTGTGTGTGTGTGTGTGTGTGTGTGTGTGTGTGTGTGCGCGCAAGACTGCGATCACTAACTTAAAAATATTAGAAAAAAACGTAAGGAGTTTTTGAACAATTGGGGATATTGCTCAGCATTCTGCAATCTGTCTGTTAACTTAGCTTCACACCAAGNCCGTTTTTAAGGCCTAAATAGTTGTATTTTGTCCTTGTGAGAGATCCTGCAGTAGTGGCATGTCTGACTGAAATCAAGCCGACATTGAGGTTGAGAATTCAATTCTCAACCTCAATGTCGGCTTGATTTCAGTCAGACATGCCACTACTGCAGGATCTCTCACAAGGACAAAATACAACTATTTAGGCCTTAAAAACGGGATAAATCTTAACTAAGGCAAACTGACTCCCCACTTCTATGTGGATACAACCAGTAGCAATAATTCAATAAAAGTAGGAGTCTAAGCCTAATTCTGCCCACTTATCTATTTGTGATGCCTTAAGGGATGGCATAATTAGACTTTGTTTACACCTAATGAAAAATTACAACTGACTGCTTAGTTGCACAAAATAAATGATCTATATATTTCAATAAAGCCTGGTTTGAATCGTCTTTAAAAAGGAGGGATAACGCTTGTGTGCCACGCTTCAAACACATTTTCACATCAAAGTAGAACTTACTAATGCAATCCCATCCAAGCCAAACATAAATGAGGATAATGTATAATAGCATCTGCATGGCATAGCTGATGCCCTTAGTTAACATTCAAACCCAACATTTGTGATTTCAAAACACTATGGAAAACTTTTTTTTTTTTAAGTTTTGCATTGTTTTGTTGTTTCACAAATCAATTTCTGGGAACCACAGGGTTAATATAAAGCAAAAACAGCCTCATCTGGTAACACATCAACGCTTGAAGGGGGAATGACCAACAAACCTGATTCTAGCCAATTCAACTCAGCAGTGTTAGACCTATTCATGCTGTAATTGTGCTCCTTGCTGTAGTTAGACACCAATATATAAGTTAAAATCCATGAAGGAATAGTTTGAAATGAGAACAGATTTAACGCCAGCCTTGATTCAATACTTCTTACCTCGTTTAACACCATGTTTGGTTCAGTTTTGACCTAAGTTGATGTTGTTGAGCTTGGCTTATAGCCTTACAGCCTTAAAGAGCTGTGGAGTGTAATATCATTTTATTTACATTCCTAACCAATCGTACCTCATTTCTAGCTTTTCTCATAATTAGGGTCTTAGATGCAAGCTACAACTAACTAACCTGGAGGATATTAAAACATCCTTTACCCATTACACTTCACGTGAAGACAACACAAGGTTTGGCAGACTTCATTTCCCACAGTCTGTCGATCTGTTCAACTACGACCTTATCAAAAATAAATGCAATTCATCTATTTGCCAATCTCTATTCCCAGTATGAAGCTGCAGTACAATAAAAAGCAACTTCCCAATCAGACATATTTCAAAGCACTGGTGACAGCAGACATGGGATTTGTTTCTGAACGAGCAACAGTGAAGCGTTGTGTTGCTCCACACAGCAGCCTCCAGCAGGATGTCAGCACCATGCCTCCTTACAGCCATCTACAGGCCAAAACCAGCCCGGGCTCAAACGGGTGCTTTCCTACCTGGGACAGGGTTAGAGGGCGGGGTGGGGGAGAGAGCACGGGGTCCGGGGCTGAAGGGGGGGGTTGGGCTAGCTATGCTGAGCATCTATACCTGCAGGGCTGAGCACTAAGGCCTGGAGGATGTCTGACAGCGAGACGATGCCCTCGATGCTGGAGTGCTCATCCACCACCACCAACCGATGCACCTGGAGGAAAAAACATAAAAAATGACAGACGCAATTCGAATCAGTCCTAAAGATATTCCTGGGTAACTAAATATACGTGTTTGTGTTTTTAAAATCTCACTTCAGCTTTCACTATTCTGTCCACAATGGTCTCCATTGTTTCCATTTTATGGCACTTCATGACTCCCTCAAAGTACTGGGAGCGATGCTTCAGAGCCTGCGTCACTGTGATGTCCAGGTTGTTGTACGTCTTCTCAGCAGCCAAGTTCTACACAAACATCATTGTAGAAATTGAGAGAAAAAAAAGAAGCAGTTTAACAATCTAATATTTGGTATTTTGTCACTTCAAAAGCTGAAATTGTAGAAATTATAACTTACAATGACGTCAAACTTGGAGTAAATATCCACAACTTTGCCTGGAAGAGGATATAAAGAACTCTGGTTAGTTTAGGCAATTTAGTATAAATAATATAATTATTTGTAATTTTAACAAAGAGCTTTTGTTTGTCAACTAAATTATGGACAAACTACTGACACAATTTTCATCTTGGAAGGATGTAGCATGGGCCAAAATGAAGGAGCGGATCCGAATTGGCCTTTACGGAGAAGCTACTTTGGCAAAACTGATGTGTTGCCGCTGACTTACCCGTCTCATCCACCACAGGCAGGGCCGACACTCGTCTCTCCACAAAAACGTTGAGCGCTTTGATGATGGGCGTGTTGGGGCGGATGAAAGCAATGTCACGGTACGAACCAATGCCCAGCTCCCCGAGAGTCTGCTTCATGAAAGCTGGCTTTGGAATTTCACACATCTGAAGAACACAGATACACACACAATGAATCGGGGACATGTTAAGTCACATCATCACTTTGGGCACATTGTATTCATGTTAAGTAGTGCCAAGGCAAACCACTTTTTCTATGTCTCCTTTTTTATGCACAGAATGAATTCCCCCTGAGATCCAACTACAAATAAAAACATGTCATCAGAAAGGTTGACTCTTTAAATAAATCAGTGCAGAGGTTTGTGCGGGACGTTTTTCTCTGAAATACATGATATGATAAAGCCCATTTTGCCACTAGAGGGCAGCAGACAAATGAAAGAGGGGATGACATGACAAAGTTCCCAGCATAAACAATCATGATGATGGATTATATAGATTAAAAATGCTATGCCAGCAGAACATTTATTCACGGACAGACTGGCAGTGACTCTGTTAGACTCACAAAAAGCTGGAGGAATTTGAGGATCCTCTTGTGTGTGAGAATATAAAGTGCATTTCCCGTGACAGGGTCGATGACGGGCAGGCGGTGAATTTTGTTTTTGATGAGGGTGTACACTGCATCGAATAGGCTGCAACACAAAAAAGCACATTAGCAGTTAAAAGTAGACACAATGAAATCTGCCGACATACATACAGTACACAAATATTTAAAACAGAGAAAGATTCATTATTCATGGTCAGACAACATACCTTGCATCAGGTGATATGTTGACCAGAGGTTTGAATGTTGCCTGAAGGTAAACCTCTGTAGCCAGAAATAAAATATTAAAGGGTTGTATGTTTTGCTCATAAAACAGAAATACAGTCTTACATTATGCAAGCCAGAATAATCATAACTACCTCTCCAAGTCTCAAGCTTATGTTCCTCTAATTCATATATTTGCACCTGAAATGTAAAATTAGCTGTTCATTTAAGAAGAAAAGAAACTGGGAAAGACTCAGAAGCAAATCTCACGCATGTTTATCTGTCTAGGTTACCTACCATCGGTGACTTATAGTATCTGTGTAGTATGATGATGAAATCGGTGATTGTCAACATTCCTGCAATGAAAAACACACACATCTATAAACAACATACCATGCCTGGATGCAGTGGAAGAGAGAGCCACTACAAGGGCGTGGTCCAAACAACACATAACTGACCCCCCTCCCCCCCCCCTCACTTTATCCTCATGCTGACCTGGCATTCATTATTCATCACAGGCTGACTTGCAATAAACTTTATGCAGGCAAATAACAAACAACCAGCACAACAAAGCAGATCCACTGCTGGTGTGGCTTTTGAGACTCTAATGCTAAAAGAAGGTTAATGTTTTAAAGACTGCTGAGATTTTTGTTGTTGTTGTAAAATAACTCGGAGCACTGGTCAATACAAATAAGTCATTGCTATGTTTAATGGTTTGTGACAGCTTTACTGACTCCTGCTCAATATAGCATTGCACTCAGATGCGACCAGAAGAATGAATACAAAAACGTTCCTCTGTGTTCATTCAGCAGGGATGTAACAGTACAGGAAAAGGAAACTGTGAACCTTTTGTTTTTATTAAACTAAAATGTAGACTATGTATGCTGCACGTTGAAGTGTTTATCCGTTTCTTTATTATTTTGCAGGAACAGCAAACATTTAAGTAGCTAATAATCGCTTATCCTTCAGGCAGGTGGACAAAGACATAGTAAATAAGTGTTTAAACGAGGGTAGAGTTAAATATATATGAACAGAAGATTAAAGGCTTCTATACCTCTTTTTAGTCCAATTTGTATAAACTGTGTTAAATGGGTGGAAGCATTTTGTCCTCTTGTTTGGGCCAAAAACCTCAAGGTAACAACTTTAAAAAACTTGATATTTGTAAAACATGCTAAACTTAGACCTGACCAGTTTCAAAATATTGAGCATTCTTTGAAATATGAAAACCATGAATAAAACATTCATACTGCAAACTCTTAAATACAACATTTCATGACTTCTTCTGTTTTTTGGTTCTTACCCACAAAGCTTTGCTTCTCTGTGTCCCATAGTGGAGCAGCTCGCACACCGTTGGCTACCAAAGCAAAGAATGCCTTCTTAACCTTTCAAGTAACAGTTGAAATGAAAAACCCATTTAGATTAATACTTAACAACAATTTGTGATTATCTTTGATGTTCCTGAAACACTTAATCCTGAGAGATCATCAATCAAATGGGCTAGCAAATATTCACTTGTTCAAGCCTCATAAATACGAATATTTGTTGTTTATATTTGGTGTTTTATCGCACTTAAAATCAAACGGGTTTGGACTGTTTGTCTGACTAAAATGTTTCAAGACGTCATCTTGGACTAAACTAGTGGCAGGAATTCTTTACACATTTTTAACATACCATAGATTCCAATTAATTTAATGGCGAAAGTAGATGGAAAAACTATTGTTAGTTACAGCCCATCTTATGATTTATTTTTTGTTTAAGTCACCTTCTCATGAGTAGAAGAAGAGAGACTTGGGTTGTGTTTTGTTAAGTACGCTCTAAACTCTTGTTGGCTATGGGTTGGTTTTAGTATTTATGTTTCTTTCAGATAATAATAGCTAACACCGAGTTTCAGTGGATTTAGTGGTTGAAGATCAAAGAGGCCATTCCTCCTCAGGTTTACTGTTTAACAGCTTTATGACAATTTCATCAACCATTTCATAGAAGAGCTCCGAGGCAAATACTCTGGCTTTTTTTTTTACTGAACATTAACTTAGGCTAAATGCCCATTTTGGTTTCAAAGACAATATAAAGGATTGTCTGGAGGCACAATAAACGTTATATTGAGACAGTACTGACTTGGAGTGCTGTGTCGAACACAACCAGCTTGGAGCTTGTGGGGACGATGTCATAGCACTTGTGGGATTTCATGAAGCGCATGTAAATATCACTCTCAGGTTCAGCAGCTGTGAGAACAAAAAGCAGGAAAATACTTTAAGAGAGGAAGGAGAAATCTCACAGGGAATACATAATGAGAGCCTGGAAACAACACACTCTGAGAACCTAAATAACCATTACGGGTCCGGACCACTTACAGCCACTTTGCTGCTCCATCGTACGGATAATTAAGATCTACTTTAAGCACCAACAAGCTAGGAAACAGTGGAAAAACACAGACAACAAAGTAGGGCCGTACTTCACTGATGATGCACTTAGAAAAATGACTGGGTTTGTTTCCCGCATGTGGAATTAAGGATGAATACAGAGTAATTGTTCAAACAAATGAGCATTGAACAGAAACATCTATGTGGTCTGGGTATTACAAATATTTGAAATAGTTATTTTGTGTTAGTTTTAGCCTCACATGCTGCAAAACAATAACTCTTAATATATGATACAACTTAGATATAACATGTCTTTTAAAAACATTCCACAGGTATCTGTCTTGATTTATTAATATTGCATCATAGTATTTTCATTGAAAACATTTTCATTTAGATAGGTGTGTTATTCTTACAAAATGAGCAGACGGCTGTGGTTTATAAGACTTTTTGCTTAGAAACGGGTGGAATACCTATAAAATCCTGATGTTAAGTCACCTTTACATGCCGTTGGAGGCAAACAAAAATAGAGCAGTGAACCAGCAGATAGAGCAGTGAGACACTTACCATCATCGTCCAGTTCAAGTTTCTCCAGCATGCCTTCGAATAAACCGTACACCTGAGAGGTAAAACAGACAGAGTGCAGTGAAGATTTCAGCAAATCCTCACCACAACACACGGCAGCGGACCAACAAACTTTGCTGTGGATAGCGAGTGATCAGTAGGGGGAAGCGACTTTTCCCCAGCGGCCCCAGCAGACTATTATGGTCTTATCGAGTGCGGTGCGCCGTGCGCAACACCAAAACAACCACACCAAAGAAAATAATAATAAAATAACGTCGTGCGTCACTGGCGTTTCACCGACTACGTTAATCTTGATCAAGTCCGCGTAATATCCACAGGTAACGTGACATAGACATTGTGCTGTCAGGCAGAAACTTCAGTTGCACATTATTATTAGACTACACACCCCTTTAAACTCAAAGTGGAACAGTCCTGACACATTTGCTGCAGTAGGGGGAACTAATGTCTACACGCTGCTCAAACATGCACTACACAGTAGAGCGAGCATTAATACCGACACTATAAATGAGCTGAAATATTTGTTAAAGCTATAATCTACCAAACATCACGTACCGCCAGAAAAGTCTTTCAAACACAGCGTGGAGAAAAAACAGGAAGTTCCACCTCTGTGAACACACACCTCCACGCACAGCAACCTGGGTGCTTCACCATATTAGGAAATCCCTTACGTTGCTTAGCAGCAAGAAGCTGGGGATGCCTGGTGACATCCTCAGATTTCATTTCTTCGGACAAAACGAGAAACATGGCTTAACTCTGCAAAAACAACTCTTTGGAGCCTCGGCAGAGAAAACAACGTGATTAATATGACACGCAAATGGTGCTATTTGCATCTTGCACTTAGGCGAGTTCCTAGCATAAAAAAATGCTGCCTCATGCTGAGAGATTTGCATATCAAAACTGTGCTTGTGGATACATGATTTTCCCTTGGTTCTTAAATTTGTGAGTATATTCACAACAAGCCACTGCAGCAGTGTGAGAAAGCCTGCTCTAGATGCTAAGCAGTCCCTAGTTTCGCCCTGCAATGGTGACACAGCGCTTCTCCTGCCAAAAACCTGCTCCTGCACTTTCATAAATCTTGTCCTGCTGCATCACAACGGGAACGCAGCTTACTCTGTATTACAGCAAGCTGGAAGAAAGCAGGCATACACTCATCCATTAAATTAATTGCTTTTGAAATTGGATCTAGCAAAAAATAAACTACAGCATCAGAAGATTACATTTGAATGATGGACTGGGGGGTGAAGGG